CCCCCCACCACCACTGTGGCAGAGAGGGAGGGAGCGGGCCCAGACCCCAAGCAGCAGGAGTTAAAGGGTGAGCAGGCCCAGACGGGGGGGCATGGGGCTCTATCCCTGCATGCTCCACCCCCATCATTCCTGACAAGTAATTGGCTAGTATTTTCAGATTAGTGACACTATACAATATTAATTAGAATTAATGTCAATTGGAATACTACATCAAAATCTATAGAAGGCCTGAATACAATCAGTTTCATCTACTTTCCCAACACTGGTCCAGATCAACCTGGAGACTTTCCTCTCCCTCCTCCCCACAGTACTGAGAGAGGCAGGCTGCCCAAAATGTAACACCTATTCATGGCCTTAGTCAGCTGTGGAAAGAAAACCTAACACCATGAATCCCCATCAACTGGGAGCCACCTCCATGAAACCAGTCATGGATTTCCTAGGTCCTTTATAAGGCTCCTTCCCATATTTATGTAATCTAAGTGTAAATGATTTTTAGAAATAATTCAGGGATATACATCTCTTGTTTAATAAAGACACATGATTTACCTATATCATTAGCATTGTTTCTCCCACGTGGAATTCTTTGAATAGTAAGGATATAGCCATCTTTTGTCTCAACATTATACTCCTCAGCTGGGTATCCTCTGTAGGTGATCATTTCAACCTGGCAGAAGAAAAATGAAAGGATTTGCTCTCTAACTGTCAAACCTTTCAGTTTTGAAGGCCTTTCTAGGCTACCTGGGCACATACATTTTAAACTGTAAAGAATACCTAGTAAGGTCATATTTTCAAGGTTTAACAATCAGTTCTGTTCACACAGTTTATATCCATTTAATCAACTAATTGTGTAACAACTAGCAAGAACATGTAATTGTTTTCCAAAGATTTTCCCTTCTCTTTAAAACCATACTTACAATATCCATGTCTACTTCAGGATTAATATTAGGATTCTCTTTAAACGGTTCTTGCACTGATTGGGTTCCATGGATAAAAAACATCACTGCTACTGCCAGCCACATCTTCAGTCTCCCTGAAACAATGTGTGTAACATGGCAAAGTATAGTTCAAAGACAAATCTGGTCTTATCAATTTGGACTTAATATAAGTTACTACCATTAATGTTATTACTAAGAGATAATATTTTACATTCAGTATAGCACTGCAAAATGAGTTCCCTTCTTCTACTTTATTATCATACCAGTTTATAGTTGCCAGGACATAAACAAGTACCCATATTATTCGTATGATTCGAGATTCAGTTGCTGCAGAGGCAAAACATAAAGAACAATGTTTGCAATAAATGGCACTACTGTTTTTTTTATAACATCTATATAATATCATTTTATAGCATCTGGAAAAAACGGAAATTCATTCAGGTTGATCTCATTCAACTACCCAGGTTTTGATTGGCTTCATTCCTTATAGCAGTAACAATTATATATATTTGTATGTATTCCAGCAGCAAGGAAAGGCATATATTTTATACAACTAAAGTATTGCTGGAATACATTTCCATTGTACCTTTCATATGATAATATGTTCTCTCTTCCCTCAATGCACAGAGGATTCTGGTGTTTTTTTCCATTAAGTAACAGAATTATACCCTTACTCACTTTTCCCTCTTGCAACAATACTAATAAGACAGCACTAATGGCAAAGAGGAGAAGGTCTGGACCTTCGGCTATTAAAGAAACTTTTTAATGTAATATATTCAGTGCACCAACATTTCTATTATGCATCTGCACAAGGCTTTACAGCAGTTAGAAATCAACAGATGAGAATTTGATTCAGAGTAATTCAAGATACAGCATAAGAATCTGTTTACAAGAATAGCTGCCAGAATAAATATCTCACCAAATTTTTATAGTCCCCCTGATTGGGGGAATATAAAAGGCATTTAAAAAAATTATACATAGTTCCTATGAAATTAGATATAAATACAGATATTAATCATATCCTAAGCCACCTGATTAAAAAAGGCAAACATGCCAAAATTGATTTTAATTAAGATAATAAATATCAAGCACACTGTCATGCCACTTTTTTGTGAACAGTTGAATTCTGCATCTACTTTTCCCATCAGATAAAATAATGTACTGCTTACCAGCCTAATGGAGATCAATATACTTACCAGCCAATACAGAGCTTTAGAGGGATTCAGCCACAGGAATGACGGCATCCAAGATGGACACAATACTAACGCAGTGTCAGATATTGTACTTGAACCTTGCTAGGCATGCAGTTTCATTACCAGGATGTTAAACATACTGGTCATCAGCAGAGCAGGTCAAGTTTTAAAAAGCCTTGTTACAGCCAGGATTATCAATGGCAGCAATTTTTACTACATCTGATTTTATCCAGCAACAAATATTGTACTTAATTGCATACCAAACACACCTTTCTCATAAAAAATTAGCCTTCCAGAACTGGGTTACACATCATAAGGAGGAAAACTGATTTTTCTGCCAAGAATAGCAGCAGTGGCATTTCTACTGAGGCAGAGAGTCAATTGACTTCATGGCTCATTAGAATCTACTTGAACCCTGCTAATAGCTTTTAACTCAGCAGGTGTTATCTAATTTCCCTCCTTCTCAATTGTCTTGATGTTCCATTAATCAAGCTGTCCTTTCTTTAGCAGTTTTGCTGCAGACTTTGAAATATAGCTACTCCTGGTCTTTCTTCTCCTACTTCAGAGCCTTGCAGACAATTTTAGCTCTTTTGAAAATTCTGTATGTGCCCACGGAGGCCAGCCTTCAGTGGCAACTACAATTTCAGCTTTTGCAAAGTAATCAAGAGCTGCTGGCAGTTCATCTGTGAAAAGTTAAAACTGTAGCTTTTGCTTGAACAGGAAAGGGAAAGTAAGTAATCTGAAGATTAAGCTCTGTTCTAACTGTCATAACACTAAAGAACTATTTCTTCTCTTCTACCTTTCCAAAAACAAAGTGCTTGCATTATTTGGAAGAGTGTGATGTACATGAAAATACAGTGTTTATACGTGTTTAAATGAGATTTTCCTTAATAAATCATTTAATTTTTAATGGACCCTGAATTGAGAAAGTGATTACAAGTAGCTTATTTGTCAATCACCAAAAAGCCATCCTTTTTCTTGGAAGCTTCATTTGTTACTATAGTGATAAAAAATCCACTGGACACAAAATTGGGATCAAGGGGTGACAAATAGAAGAAAGGAATTAATTCTGGAGAAAGAATTGGAATCCTTAATAGAGTGGAAAAAAGCTGTAACAGGCTACCCTAGAAAACATCTAAATGCAACCCTTTCTTTCTACAGTTTAGTGACCAGGAAACAGGAGACTCAGGTCCCAGACCACAATTCCCACTTCCAACAAAATACACCAGGACTTCAGCCTGGCAAACTTGACAATACCTTCCCACCAAATCTGCTGAAGCTGGGACACTGGGCAACTGGGAGCAAAAGAATCATGAGGCAAGAAGTTATGTTATTCTGTGTTCCAACAAGGAAGAGGGGGAGAGAGTTTTGGTTCTCCCCCTAGCCCCTAGCCCCCAATACTGTGGCCCCAATACTGTTTTTACATTTTGCATTGAATAATCATTGGATAAAAGCATAAACAACACTGCAACCAGGGATAAAGAGGACCTGAGTTATTTTAGACAGGTAAACCTGACCTCAGTATGCTGTTTTAAGCATTCCTCATGAAACAATGTAGAGGAAACAAGCCGTATAGTTTCTGTATGTGTATTATCAGAACATCTACAAAGACAATTCCTTATACATGTTTTCTAAATTTTTCAAAACATTTAAAACCTCTTTAGGTAGCCTGTTTCAGGCTTTCTTACCTTTAAAGGTAGAAAGATTTTACCGATAACTAATGACATTTTCCTAGCTACAAATTAAGCTGATTTTACCCAGGCAGCAATGAGAACAACTCACTGCCATACTTTTTATAACTATCTGTTACATTATGTAAAACATATACCTCCCTCAGTCTTTTGGAAAGAAACCCAGCTACTTCTTTCTTTCCTCATAGATCAGGCTTTCCATACCTCTTAGCATTCTTGTTTCTCTCCCAGTTTGACTCTCTGCATCTCAGCGTGAATCTTGAACTATTTATACCGAACCCTGAAAACTACACAGGAGCCGAATGGAGAGTTTTCAAATTTATACAGGTGGTTAAGCCAACGGCATAAGGAAATTGGGAAAACCACAAGTGAGCAGACAGTAACTATGACTCGGTGGTAAAATCCTTCAGGGGCAGATAGCAAGATAACAAACAGGGAACATTAACGTGATGAAATACACTGAAGAAACCTTAAGCCTTTCCTCTATTGCAATGAGGCTCTCAAACCAGTCTTGAGTGTCACGGTAGACTCAATACTGTGGTTACTTGTTCATAGGGAGGCAGATCTCCCATCCAAACAGCACCATTTATGGTGTGTACCCCATAGAAGACTGCACACTGCTCTGGTAGGCTATCATAACATAACGCAGTACTTCATCCCATGTTGTCTGATGGTCCTTAACTACAAGCCCACAATACTGGAGGTTCCTATCTATGTTGTAGCTTACTCCCATACCCAGCTATGGACAATGGACACCTGAGCCCCTGAATAAGAGGAATTGGCATGGAACCTCTCTTAGCCTCCCCTCCAGGTAGTACCCTAACATTACAACACCAACAGTTACCACTTTGTCCTGAGGGCCTCCAGGATTACCAGCAGTGGATGGTCCCCTCTCCACTGCCATCCTCAGTTTCCCTGCCCTGAATGACATCTTCTCTCCGGCATTCCCTATGGAAGTGACCATGGCTGCCCCAGTACCAGCATTCAGAATCAGTGTCCTGATGTGGACACAGGTGACGTGGTCCAGTGGGACTTCCACTGGCATGTCTATGTTGGAACTGATGTTCCATGCGCTGTTTGGGTTGGTTCCTATTACCCTCCATTTTTCTGCCTTGTCTCCATTGTCATTTGCAGGACCAACAGGTTTGTCTTTGGAATGCATACTGTTGATGCCTCTTCCATGACATGCATACATAACCTTGCCTCAGTGTCCTGTGTACTTAATGTCCACAGCTTGGTTACTAATTCTATCTCCAAGGCTTGTTTTATGGCCTCATGCAGAGTCTGGGGCTTTCCCAGCCAAAGTTGAACTTGTTATGTTGAGGAAATGATCATGAGCCAGCATGTCCTGCACCTCAGAGCTGCCTTGCAGGAAGGCTATTATGGCTCATTGTCTTACAGCCAGGTGAAATTGTTGTTCTGTCTCAGCTGATGTTGTCCTATAATGAATAAGAGCGGCACTGGACCAGCCAGGACCTGCCTCTGGTTCCAAAGTCTCCCAGAGGGCCATAAATCAGGCATTTATAATTAGCGGTACACCGATACGTTGGTCCATATTGTATCAGCACCAATAAAAGGAAAATTGACATTATTGGCAACTGGCTTTCTTTGGCTGATGTGGCCGATAATATTGGCGATAAATACCATGTGCATGCAGGCAGCCAACCCAGCAGATTGGAGAGCAACGTCGGACTGGTAAGTCTGTTGGGGGTAAGGAAGAGGCGTGGGGGGGCAGATCGAGGCCCCTGTGGTGAGGGAGGGAGTGGGGCTGGGGTAGGGGTAGGAGCAGTGGCAGGCCCAGCCACAGTGGGGTGGGGTGCAGGATGGAGCTATGAGCAGATCATCCAGGTGCCATGGGAGGGGGTGGCTCCCACCACTGTGTACACCCCCAGCGGGGGCACGGGGGGTACGTGCCACCAGGATCTGCACGCAGGGCAAGGACAGGCTGCTGCTGGGGTTGTGCTCCTCCACCAGCCACCCCAGGCTGCCCCGAGATGAACTGCTTGCAGCTCTGTCCCACACCCTTTTATGGCTGGGCTAGTGCCTGCCCCCACCCCAGAACCATCCCCACTCCCTCCCTCACTGTGAGGGCCTTGATCTGCCTCCCCCACATCCCTTCATTTCCTCCAACAGACTTAACAGTCCAACACTGCTCTCCAAGCTGCCACGCTGCATATCAGCAATAGGATCGGTATCGGCCGATAAGGCTCATTAATAATTGTCCATCGGTTTGTGATCCTGCTTAACTTTGTTGGCAAGCCCATAGTAGGTTGCCCTAGCCTTTCCTGTGAGTAAGAGGCACAGAAATATTAGTTCAGTGACCTCATCCCATCCATTTAACTCAGCCGCTTTTCCAACTTGCTCATGCTTGTCATCCCAGTCTTGGTATTCCTCACTAAATGGTGCTGGGGTAAATATCAGTCTTGAGGCATTAGGAGGCATATTTCCCTGCTCTGGGATGCTCCTCTTCCCTACACAAATATCTGTACAGTAATAAAATGCCTTCCAACTCTACAGCAGTTTGTTCCACGCCCTATGGCCTATTCCCACCGATTCAGTGGTAAAACCACTCAGGGACAGATAGTAAAATAACAAACAGAAAATATTAACAATGTGATGAAATACACTGAAGAAACCTTAAGCCCTCCCTTAACTTGAGGGGGGCTCTCAAACCAGTCTTTAGTTTCACAGAATGCTCAATTACTGTGGTTACTTGTTAATAGGGTGGCAGATCGCCCATCCAAACAGCACCATATATGGTGTCTATACCACAGAGGATGGCACACTGTTCCAGCAGGCCATCACAAAATAAGGCAGTACTTTACCCCATGGTATAGGATTGTTCTTGATCACAGAGAACCATAGTCAAACATAGTGTGATTGAAAGTGGCTTGGGGGAACTTGATGTTTGCTTTCGAACCAGTCTTTGTTTTCACAGATCCCTCAATTACTGTTTACCTGGGCTCCCTGTCTGAGCTCTGCTTTGGCTTGCAGAGTCAGTCACACTACAGCTCCTGGGCTTCAGCATGCATTTCATCAACTGCTGCTTATCTTTCTCTCGCTGGCGCTCTCTCTCCCTACCAAGCTATTTCTTCGCATGCAAGTCTGGCTCCCTCTCCACGTCCTTTCTTTTTTCCCCTGCAGCCTTCTGGGAAAAGCAGTTCCTGCCATGATGTTACAATCCATTATATCCTCTCTTCCCTTTTAACAGGATGCACCCCCACATCTAACTTGATTCACACCACATAGTCATTAAGCCAACTGGGAGGTTTCCACTCCCTCTGTGGCCTACCTGTGGACTCAAGATTGGGAACCTCTCTCATGTTACATAGGTGTTGAGTACCCTCAGGTATATTCCTCTCTGGTTAGAATCATAGAATCATAGAAAGTTAGGGTTGAAAGAGACCTTAAGAGGTCATCTAATCCAACTCCCAGCTGAAAGCAGGGCCATCCCAACCAGAGCTTTGTCTAGTTGGGTTTTAAAAACCACCTCTCTGAGTAACCTGTTCCAGTGTTTTGCTACCCTCCTAATGACAAAATTATTCATAATATCTAACCTAAACATCTTTCACTGCAACTTGAGACTGTTGCTCCTTGTTCTGTTATCTGCCACCACTGAGAACAGTCTAGCTCTATCCTCTTTCAAACCCCACTTCAGGTAGTTCAAGGCTGTTATTAAATCCCATCTCAGTCTTCACTTCTCTGGACTAAATGAGCCCAGTTCCCTCAGTCTTTCCTCATAAGTCATGTCCCCCAGCCACCTCATAATTTTTTTTGCCCTCCACTGGTTTCTGTCCAATTTGTCCATATCCTTCCTGTAGAGATCAAGCACATACTTTTTTCTACTATCTTCAAGGCTGCGGTGAGCGAAGCAGTTGCAGGGGAGTTACAAAGAACAAATACTTTCCCTTATCTGCTCTAACATGCAGAGCCAGCAATTTCCCACATAGCTGTTATGGTCATCTTATAACTCATGTGATAAAAGTTTAAGGTTTTTTTTTTTTGATTCCACAATAGTTTCATAGTTTCATAGTTGGTAGGGTCAGAAGGGACCTGAGGAGATCATCTAGTCTAACCCCTTGCTCTGGCAGGAAAGAGTACTGGGGTCAAACAACCCCGGCCAGATGTTCATCCAGCCTTTTTTTAAAGACCCCCAGGGTAGGGGCCAGCACCACTTCTTTTGGAAGTTGGTTCCAGGTCCTAGCCGCCCTGACAGTGATATAGCGCCTCCTAATGTCTAGCCTGAAACTACCCTCCACTATCTTGTGTCCATTGTTTCTTGTAACTCCCGGGAGTGCTCGGGGGAACAGGGACTCTCCCAATGCCTGCTGGTCCCCCTTGACTAATTTGTAGACTGCCACTAGATGCCCTCTCAGCCTTCTCTTGTGGAGGCTGAACAGGTTCAGGTCCTGTAGCTTCTCCTCGTAGGGCCTGCCCTGCTGCCCCCTGATCATGAGGGTGGCCCTCCTTTGGACCCTCTCCATGTTGGCCACATCCCACCTGAAGTGCGGCGCCCAGAACTGGATGCAGTACTCCAGCTGTGGCCTGACCAGTGTCACATAGAGGGGGAGGATCACCTCCTTGGACCTGCTTGAAATGCATCTGTGGATGCATGACAAGGCGTGGTTGGCCTTCCTGACCATGTCCCCCCACTGTCGGCCCATGTTCATTTTGGCATCAATAATGACTCCAAGATCCTTTTCTGCCTTTTTACTGACAAGAGTAAAGCACCCCAGGGTACTCAAGGAGCTGGCGAGCATCATAGCCCAGCCTCTAGCATGGATCTTTGAAAACTCTTGGAGCTCTGGTGTAGTGCCCGAAGACTGGAAGAAGGCCAATGTGGTGCCTATCTTCAAGAAAGGGAGGAAAGTGGATCCGGCTAACTATAGGCCCATCA